TGTGGGGACAGGGGCCTGCGCAGCACAGCTGAGACCCTGCAGAGAGGGACACCGAGTCACAGCCACCCCCTCCCCTGCGGGCCCAAACAAGACCCAGACCCAAACCCAAAACGGCCCACAAGCCGCCAGGCTGTGCTGTCTCCTACCGCAGAGCCCTGGCCGCAGAGGCGGGTGAGGAAGAGGAGAGGTGGTGCGGCAGTAACCCTTAGCTGCAGAAGGGGCTGCCGGGGATGAGGTTGGGGCGCCGGCAGCAGTGGCACGGAGCAGCAGACACCTAGCCGGTCCCTCCCCTCGCTCCAGCCGCTCCCCCTCCCAACGCAGCGACTCTGGCCTCAGATGATCCCGCTCCCCCCTCCCCCCAACCGCAGCCCCGCACAGTCGGGCGGGCGCACTCACAGGCTGGGGGGGAGGGGGGAGCTGAGCAGAGGACGGCAGGCAGCCGCACCAGGGCCGGGGTGCCCGCAATGCCTGTTCCCATGGGCTCTGCCCTTCCCCCCAAGCAACAATCAAAGAGGGACCCCACACTCACCCCCAAACCTTCAACCAGCCCCCTTTGGGACCAAGACTGCCCGCCTGCCTCCCCCTCCTTCTTCCAAGATTTGGGGAAGGGGGGCAACCCTGCTTAGGGCTGAGCCCAGCCTGGGTTGCCGGCCAGCTCTGCGGATGAACCAGGCCCTGCGGAGCCTTCAGCCCCTAGCCCACTCTCCTCTTTGGAAGGACCCAGAAAGGGGCAGAAAACCAAGCAGGGTTTAGGATATTCACGAGCTAAAAATGCCAGGAATTTCCTGGGAAACGCAGTTCCTTACGGGATTCATTAACGCAGGTTCACTCATGCATTTTACCCCTCCCAGAAACTCTTAAGTGTCAAGCAGGGCTCCCACCTCTCAAGAAGTAAAGCACTAAATGATCGCTAGTTTTTAGGCAGATAGCTAGGTTACCGACCATTAGTTAACCAACGAGTTAACCTGAAGGGGTTGTCTCTGGTCTTAAAAATCATTGATTTTTTTTCTTCGTAGATTTGAGGCACAATCTAAGGCCTATTTTCCTTCTCCCAGATACATAGTGAATGCTCATAACTACCTCACTGCAGTCTGCAGTCCTAACAGCTGTGGAAAAGCTAAGGCCCATCTGCAGAGGACCCCCTGCCAATGCCTCCCCACCACCTTCTACAGTGGTCTCAGAGGACATCAGAGCCCAATTCCCGACCGGATCAAGCACAGAGTGCTGCCTCTATTCTGAGAAGCGTATGCGTATCCCATCTCTAAGTTCCATTCCCATTTAACATCCTCCACCCCCCAAAGTAAGGAGACTTGCCTCCTTCGCTCTTAGCCCCAAAGACAACTGAGTACACGGTTGCCCAAGCTTCCTAGAAAGAGAGGGATGAAAAGAGGACAGATGATCAAGAAACCTAGACCAGTCGAAGGTATAAGCCTTGTCAATACCTGAGCCCTCAAAGCCCCCTAATATTTCCCTTCACATCCTGGGCAAACCTGTCTGCTACAGTATTCATAGCTTCCTTTCTCTCTTTGCAAGGGTCCCATTCTACCCAGCATTAGCTACTTCAACTTTGGGCTACTACTCCCAAAGTTTACTTATTCCCTTTAAAGAAGAAACAAGGCAAAGCACCCTGGCTATCAAAGAGCAAACCAAAGTAGTCCTGTGAGCCAGCTCTAGAATAACCCACCTGTCCAGTGGCCATTGAAATGACTCCCTAATGGGGGGCCCACTAAGAGACTGAAATCTAGGCATTGGGCACCATAAAGAATTTCCCCCTAGTTTGAGGGGCATCCTCCAGTACCATGTAGTACTCTTTCATTGCTGATTTTTTTCTGCAGTCCCTCCCCTGTCGGGAAGGGGACATAGGAAACTGTTAGCACACTTCATACCACGCCAAAACAAAAAACAAAACAAAACAACAAAAAACACGTAAAGAAGCGCAGACTCCTTCAGGCTCCCACCGAAGCGATCAGGACCCTGGATAGACCCCAGCCCCAAACAGAGACGCAAAGGATGAGTGGCAGATCTCCGCACACAATCCTGCAGGGCATCACGCTTCCACTTGTAAGCTGAAGCTAAGATTTGGTGAAGTCCGATCTAGAAAAGCCGCTGCTCTTCCTCAAGGGTTTAGCGTGCGCTGTACCAAGACTTTGCCCCCTCGGGAGAGCGCAAAGCAGCAACAAGGCCAATGGGATTGCGAAGAAGGGGCACGCGCCGGTCTGGCCATTCTTCCAAGCTAATAATGATCGCTTCCCCAAAACAAACAACAAACTAGGGCTTAAGCTGCCAGCCTTCTTGGACCACCTTTGGAGTCTAAATTTCTTGCCCTCTGTCCCAAACGATCATGTCCAGGGGCTCTGAAGTGGTTTTAGTTTGGGAATGCTCTGATTTTCTGATTAAGGGTCCCCAGGAACCGAGTGCTTAGTTGCCCAGTACAGAGGCAACTGATGAAGTTTCTAGACAAAACACAAGTTAAATATCATTTCCCTGCGTAAACTGGGAATTTTACGCTCAAATCAAACGACTGAGACCTGGATCTCTTCGCATAAATATGTACTAATTTATTTAATGATATTTATTATATATGTAAAAAATTTCTGGTACTATAAACTAGCTTCTTACTTTTTAAATGTATCTTAACAAGCAAACAATAATACCTTTTCCAAACTAATTCAATGATAAATTGGATATTTAGTACATTTTTCATTACTCAAATAAGAGAGTTAATTTCAGGATAAGCCTGTAAATCTGGGCTTTTGGTCAGACTGGGAGGGAGGTGGTGGAAGGTAGTTTTCCTTAGGCTACACAATACAGTAGCCTTAAAAAAGGCAGTCAGAGAAGAATGAATATTGACTCAGAAAAAGTCTTAAAACAAAAAATTTAGAACCTTAAATAGAATTTCAAAGTTAGATTTGCATCCTAACACTGAAAATCCAATAGAAAATTTCTGGATTTAAAATGACATCTAACCATTTGTTAACTACCTAAACAATATACTAGCTTGGTAAATGAAAAGCAAGTTTTAGTGTCTAGCTGTCTGAATATGTAATTTTAAAACAAATAGTTGTAAAATTAAATTTATAATTTCAATACAATGTAAGAAGGACAAAGGGAAAACGAAATATATTAATATGCAGCAAAATATCCATGTTGATGAAAAAATAATAAAATATTCCCTTTCTCAAAGTTTGCTTACATTTTTAAAAATGATGTCTCTAGATTTCTTGTGCTTTTATTAATACTACACACATATTTTGAAAAGAATAGATTCCTTTGTTTTTAATCCCATTAGCTCTATGTCTTTAACAAACTCTTACCAACAAAAAATTGTTTGCAAGTCAAACAGACATTAGGTAGACAACAAGGAAAAAAGCCTCAATTTTCCTCAGCCTGAACTATGGGTTCTGAAATAACCTAACTCAGCTTTGGTTTTTAAAAGTAAAAATTATCACACATTTATAAAATAAACTTGGAGAGAGGGAATCTACTTCTGGATAATAAACCCTTTTGAATATAGAGTTTCCAGTAGAAACAATATGCTGATTAATATTTCACAGAATAACAGATTTCCAAAATAAAAAGAACATTAAAACTTGTGTTTTGAAGTGCTGCTTAGGTTAAATGCCTGTTTAAAACCAGACAATTACCTTCAATACTCAAATCATTAAAACTAACTGGAATGTTTTACTGCAAGTCTTCGAAGTGGAGGAATTACCCACTTCTTCTCATGGCTATCCACCAGAAAAATTAAGGGAAGCCCTCAAGATGTTAACGTTTAACGACAACAACAAAGACTAATGGTAATAGTATTTCACCAACCGTTTTTAAAAGTGTGTAGTATCTCTTTTCTATAGCTCACCTGAACTTTAAAATTATGTCTCTTCAATGCTATTTTAATGTTTAGGGTTAAAGATATGAATTAAACATTTAAAATCTCAAGAGAACAATCCACGTGATACAATCCTCGCACTTCACAAAATGTTTCCATTTTAAGCATTTCCAGAAGTTAAATAAACGTACCACAGATTCTAAATTCTATAAAATTTTTTTAAAAACCCGACATTTTTTGTACCCAAAAGGTCCAAACAGAAGCGATGCAAATGTCAATAGCTCCCTCTCTTCCGGCTGATACTTAAATGATTTTACTAGTACCCAAAAGAATGAAATCAGCAACTCTCCACACACTAGCCAACACTCCAATTTTCAAAGCCGCAATTCGCAAACGTCAGTTTGGGAAGGGAACATTGCGGGGAGGGGTCTTGAAGTAATCAAAAAAATTCCTTTTCTTCTCTCACAGTCTACCAAAAGATGTCAAACCGAATTCTGCCTATTGTAAAACATTGGGACCTCCCTTCCAAGGACACTGGACACAAACAGACACCGCTGCAAAAAGCTGTCCCAAAGCGCCTAGCTAGTCCGACAGAAACGTAAGGGGCCCAAATAAGAACGAATTAGAACTCTCAAGAGGGTCCGCAGAGACAGCGAAAAGAAGGTGGCATTTATTCCGGGGTAGACAACAACGAACCAAACAAAGTTGCCCCAGTTGGACTCTTGGGCCTTTCTCTAACCACGTTCTGGCTCAAGGCAGATATGTTTAGTGGGGGGGCGGTCCCTTTCCCTACAGACATCTCAGGCGCCTCTGGCACCTACTGTCGTTCACAGGAAAGCCCCTCCAGCTTCACAACCGTTCCTTTTGCCCCCGGTCTAGGGCAAAGGAAGCTGTTGAGCTGACCTAGCACGGTGGGGCAGCAAATATGCCTTGTCCGGGCCACCCATCCTTGGGCCTGGCTTCATCTGCGATGTCAGCAGCAATGTATTATTTTTTATTTTTACAACGCATCCTGGGCGGGTGTATATATTGCAGGGGGGAGGGGAAGTTGAACACAGGAGAGGAGGGGTTGTTAGTGGAGCCTAGAACCCTCCTTCTTCTCCCCTCCTGCCAGGTTTGCTGTGCAGGGAGTGTCGGCCACATTTGGCGCACTGTCCCAGGCCCCGTGCGAAGGTGGCCAGGGAAAATGGGGCTCAGGGATTGCTAAGCAAACGGCACCACTGGTGGTCTCCAGCGCCTGCGGAGGTAGGATTGTCTTCTTTCTTTTAAGGGGCGTGTGATTTTGTTCTTTTTTGGAAGTAGGAGGGAGGGAGTTCGTTCGTGCGCTACGGTGTGGGGGGGGGGGGCGTTGCTGCACTGCCAGGGTCCCCGGAGGGAGGGTGCGGGGATATCTGCAACGGTACAGTAATTATTCCTGGGGCGTAAGAGGGCGATTAGAGGACGGGGTGGGCAGCACCTCGAGCTGTGGCAGTGGCAACAGGAAAGGTCGCGAGGGGCTTACCCGGGCGGGCGGGCGCTGTCCTGCCGCAGGTGAGGGAGGGCGCGCGCTAGGCAGGCGCGAGGAAGGGGGGGGAGAGGAGGAGGAGGGCGCGCGCGCGCGCGCGCACACACCTGTCCTGGACAGCGGCGCGAGCCGTGCTGCGCCTCACTCGAGCTCTGCTAGCTGAGAAGGGAGGAGGGCGGGCCGGCAGGCGGGGGCGGGACGCCGAGGGGAGGAGGAGGAGGCGGCTCGGATGGCTGGCTCGGCTCGCGCTCGTTCTCCCTCCCGCGGGCAAGCCCTGCTCACACCCCGCTTCTCCCGCTCACTCACAGCCCCCTTTGCTCTCCCTCCTCCTCCTCCTTCCCCTGCGGGATCCGCTCGCCGCCGCCGCCGCCGCAGACGGCAAGTCGTGGCAGCCAGACGTCGGCGCGTAACCCGGCGCTCCGTGCGTGACTCCGGGCGACGTCAGCGCGCGCTCCGCGCTACCCACCATCCCCCCCCTACCCCCCCGCCCGCCTTCCGTGGCTCGCGCCCTCCGCCCTCGCGTCCCTCGGTTTTAGTTGCCGCGGCGGCCGCCGAGCACGCTCCCTCCGCCCCCATCTCGCGCGTGCGCGCGCCCTCTCCGCCGTTGGCGCGTCAACAATCTGCGGCCCAGGCCTCGAGGCGCGTCTGTGGAGGGGGCTGTTTGCGGCCTCTTTTCCCTCACTTCCTCCACCCGCCGCGGGTAGCGGACCCTGGAGGACTTATCCCTCCTAGGGCCTTGAAGGCCGAAGCCAGGCTCAAGCAGTAATACAGCCCTGTGGCGCCTGCGTCAGTTCCAGCTCTGGGCCCTCAGCGTCGTAGTTGGTGCTGCTACCACTGCGTCACCTCCTCCCCCACGCCCCCCTGTAGCCCTTGTTCCGCCCCCAGCTCTCTGAAGGCTTAGGACCTTTTATCTCCTAGGAGGGTCTCACCTTGGCCTTCAGACGCCTGCTGTGAGGGGCTAGAAGAGCAGAATTAGCATAAAGAAGAAAGTGACTAAACCACGTTCAGGCTCTAGCCTCAGGAATCCTTCACAGGAAGCGTGGGGTTGCTGCCCAGCCTCCCACGCAGTGTAGGTGAAACTGGGCCCCTTTGAGAGACTGTGACTAAGGACAAAACTCTGATAAATGTTATTTATGCGTCTTTGGGCTGAGAGGGAGAAGGTAAAAGGGGCGACTTAATTTTCGTAAATTGCTATGCGAAATGCAGAACTACAAAATGTTCTTTAAGACAAGGTTTTTGATGCATAGTAACTTTTTCCATCTCTTCGTGTGCTGTCACATCTCCATTCTGCAACACTGAGTACGTAGAGGTGAATCAGTTAAAAATATTGGTTGCAAAATTAATAGAACCTTAGAGAAGTCAATCTGTGACTTAGTCACTGTCTTTGAGTTTATTTTAAGTGACTTTGCAATACACCAAAAAATACACTTTTATTAGGCAATAGTAAACTAATTTTAAACTCACTTATAGGACCTTTTCCAAGAAGCTTATCTAGTTAACCTGTGAGGCAAATAGGAGCAAAGTAAAATTAACCCCGTTTCGTACATAAGAAAATTGAGTTACAAAAATACAAGTTAGTTCAGTTGCAAGAGTCTATTACTGGTAGAGGGAAACCCTGTAGGCTACTTTCACCTACTTTATCCACTAAACCAGAAATCCCTCAAATGTTTACTTTCAGGTATTTATTGATGCCCATCCCCCGTGTATGGTAGGCAGTGCCTAATGTCTGAGAGAAAAAAAATTGAGATATTCCTGTAGACCCCAAGTCATAGAGGTCTCTAAAAAGGTTTGAAATTTTCTACCATAGGAAATTGCAGCTCAGCACTAACTTATTGCGAAAGTTTAACTTCCATACTAACAATTTTTTAAAAAATTAATCCCTAGTTAGAGGTGATAAAACGTTCGAGACAGGTTTAAGAATGATGGGTCATTTCCTTTGAATTGCTTCTTTATTCACCTCATCTTTAGGTGGCAGCACTACTATGTAAATATCTTTTATACTCCAGTCTTCTACAACTTGATATCCTAAAGTGTTTTGTCGTCGTAAATGCATCCAACGATGTTGTGGAGAGTGGAAGCCAGTGAAAATAGGAAATCATAGCTGAGAATTGGAATATTTAGGAGGCTCTGGAAGAGGAAAAATAGAAAGGTTCTCAGAGTAATTATTAAAATACATGGATGTACTAAGGAAAAAGATTAGAAAGTTTCCTAAAACCCCTTTTTAAGCTATATGAGAAGCAAGCATTTTTACTGTAAACCTGATTTCTTAATGAAACATAGTGCAAGATATCCTTCCTATGCAAGTCATAGTTTCTCAATACTGCTTATTTATCAGGTATTTACAACTTCAATGTTGCTAGTTGTATAGTTGCCCATATCCTAACTACAATTTTAAAATTTAGGTGCAGTTTCCCTCATTTATTTGCAAAAAGCTTATGAAGATTCCAAAAAGGATCCTATTGTTGAACCTTGTGGAAGAGAGCTCTTACTGGCTTCTTTTCTAGCTTCCAAAATTGTTCATATACAAAGTAAAGGATCACTGAACTCAGAGAAGTGAGAAGACAAGCTAAATCAAATGTAAAATAATAGCAGTTTACAGATATTCTATATCTTAATTTCTCTCACATTTTTTAGGGTAATAGATTGTGATATATGGGTATTTGGAGCTAATGCTTCCTAACTAGAACTTTGTCATAATTAATTTAGTTCTCTTATACCCCTTTACCCAAGGAACCAAACAAAATTGAATTCACATGCATTACAAAATAGAGTGCATTTGCTTCACAGCATAAATATAACCGTCAAGGAATATAGAGGTACGACCCTCAGGAGTGGGAAATCAAATTATTTCTGGATAGAGGATATGTCTTAATAAAATCTTTCTTGATAGCAGCTTTCATCTTTCTCAAGTCAGATTTGGAGAAGAAGTCTCAAGAAAATTCGTAGAATTCAAGCTCAGCAGTATTATGTTGAGATTTTTTTTAAGCTCTCTGGTGCCAGCAAATCATGCAGCCTGGGGGCCTTGGCTCCAAACTTCTGCCAGCTCCATTTTGGCAGTCGTGTTCTGTTGAACAAAGTTTGCACGTGTTTGGGGTGTGAAGTGGTTCCTCAGGCATTTATCTGGTTTTATTCCAGTTTTGGGACTTGAGGACGAGGGTCAGAAGCATGAGACTTGTATAGTTCATATGTGCCCTGACACAGACTATGCTAGTGATCTTGAATTTTCACTTAAACAAGAGCAGCTTTTTCTTTGCTGGTGTAGGAGTTATTGAAGTGGACCTTTTGGTTTACAACTTAAATGCTAACATGATACTGAACCAGTCCCAGAAGTAGATGAACAGGACCCTTTCTGCTGAGGATATAGAGCTGTGGAAATTTACTCCTCATCCTCCTATTCACAGTACCACCTAAATGTATTTATTCAAATGAAACTCACTAAGTAATAATATGCAACTTGAGAACAAAGGGGCCAGTAATTATTAAAACTTGATCCCATTGTTAGATTGTAACTATGAGCTTCTGATCTTTCTTGATATGAGTTGTCTGGCCTCATCGCTCTTAACCACATCCTCCCATCCTGAAGTCATTGGTTAAGTAACAACACCTGGCCCAGATGTGCGTGTTAACTTGTCTTATTTCAGGGGGTACCTCTTCTTAAGGGAAACATCATGTGGTCTCAATTTCCATTATTTTTTCCAAGTAATTCTAATAGAAAATCCTTGCATAACCTGGGGTAACACAGTTTGAAAGCCATTAAAGAATGTTAGAGCATTCTTTTATTTTTGTTTTTTGGGTTTCCTCCCCTCCCCCGGTTTAGGAGTAATGGAAAGAAAAAAGTACAAAAGTAGAAAAAAAAAGTAACAGAGGTTGAAATGATGATCTTACCTCTAACCATGATCAATGGAATGCCAATTTATAGGATCCAAGTATAGTAATTTGAACATGGTAGTTATTCTTGATACTCTTAAAGTATATTTTATTGATTATGCTATTACAGTTGTCCATTTTTTTCGCCTCTTTATCCCCCTCCTCCCTGCATTCACCCCCACCCTTAGTCCATGTCCATGGGTCATACATATAAGTTCTTTGGCTTCTCCATTTCCTATACTATTCTTAACCTCCCATTGTCTATTTGGTACCTACCAATTTTGCTTCTTATTCTCTGTACCTTTTCCCCCATTCTCCCTGCTCCCCCTTTCTGCTGATAACCCTTCCCTGTGATCTCCATTTCTGTGATTCTGTTCCTGCTCTAGTTGTTTGCTTAGTTTTGTTTTTGTTTTTTAGGTTCAGTTGTTGATAGTTGTGAGTTTGTTGTCATTTTACTGTTCATAGTTTTGATCTTATTTTTCTTAGATGAGTCCATTTAACATTTTATATAATAAGGGCTTGGTGATGATGAACTCCTTCAACTTTACCTTGTCTGAGAAACATTTTATCTGCCCTTCCATTCTAAATGATAGCTTTGCTGGATAGGGTAATCTTGGATGTTGGTCCTTGCCTTTCATGGCTTTGAATACTTCTTTCCAGCCCCTTCTTGCCTGCAAGGTTTCTTTTGAGAAATCAGCTGATAGTCTCATGGGAAATCCTTTGTAGGTAACTGTCTCCTCTTGCTGCTTTTAAGATTCTCTCCTTATCTTTAATCTTGGGCAATGTAATTATGCTGTGCCTTGGTGTATGCTTCCTTGTCCAACTTCTTTGGAACTCTCTGAGCTTCTTGGATCTCCTGGAAGTCTATTTCCTTTGCCAGACTGAGGAAGTTCTCCTTCATTATTTTTTCAAATAAGTTTTCATTTTCTTGCTCTTCCTCTTCTCCTTCTAGCACCCCTATGATTTGGATGTTGGAATGTGCAAAGTTGTCCCAGAGGTTCCTAAGCCTCTCCTCATTTTTTTGTATTCTTGTTTCTTCATTCTATTCTGGTTAAATGTTTATCTCTTCTTTCTGCTTCCGATCGTTGGTTTCAGTCCCAGTTTCCTTCCCTTCACTGTTGGTTCCCTGTATATTTTTCTTTATTTCACTTTGCATAGCCTTCGCTTTTTCCTCCATTTTGCGACCATTGTCAAGCAATTCTGTGAGCATCCTGATTACCAGTGTTTTGAACTGTGCATTTGATAGGTTGGTGATCTCTTCATCACTTAGTTCTATTTTTGGAGCTTTTATCTATTCTTTCATTTGGGCCATATTTCTTTGTCTCAGCACCTGTTAAGTTAGAAGGGGTGGAGTCTTAGATACAAACCTTAGGGGCAATCCAGGTCACTGTGTTGTGATACTGTATGTGGGGAGGGGTCCAAGAGGGAACAATGCTACTTGCTTGGCTCTTGGCCAACTTTCAGTCACTTCCCCCACTACCCACAAGCAAATTGGCCCCTTCTGGTGCTGATCCCCAGATGGGTGGATTTGTGTGCACTC